GTTTCCTGTCCTGAGCTTCTGCACCAGCATCCCACCTGATGACACTGTGATCTGAACACATGGGAATTCACACTTAAAAAAGTTTCCTAAAACCCAATGTTACAGCTCTTAATGCTTTGTTTAGTGAGCAAAAAAGTACTGAAACCAGATCACAAATACAGAAACCTAAATAAACCACACTTATCCCAAATCCTCTATTATCACTACCACTGCATTTAATCCTGCATTAAGTGTTGCCGATCTAGTATTTTATTCGTCATTGTGTTATTGCAATGTTTACTTGTGCGAATCCTTGTTCACCTATTAAATAGCCCTCATGCAACAGCTCAGACTCATTACCTGATTGTTACACTGTCCAGTTATGTTGGCCAGAGCCTCATATTTTAGTGACTGTTTCTGAAAACAATATACAATACTGTGCAAAACTCTTGAGACACTCCTCATTTCTTTTTGTTTTGCTTACAGGGACCGAGACATTTCCTGTCATTTTGAAAAGTGGTCTTGAGCACAAGTTCTTCAGCATTCTGAAGTTTTTCTTTGGACATTGGCTACTTTTCCACACATTTTCACTCTAGGCTTTGTAGATGAGCATTTTTAGAGGAGTGTTTTTGTTGTTGTTTGTTAAGCCACTAAACAGTGAAATATGAATCTTTCAAGCACAAAAATGCAAATAACACAAGGGATGAACCAATGTTGTTGAACAGAATGATTTTAAATTGCATCTTTTGAGCAGCTTGTCAATTAAAAAAAATAATGTTTGCATTTTTTAATTGAATCTACAAAAAAGTACAAGTGTCCAGCGTGTCCTTAAAGAACTGAGGAAGCTAGACAAGTAGAGGACAAAAGAAGTGACAGGCCTAAAAGATGTAAAGCAGTATATTAAGTCATGTCTTTAGGAAACAGGAGAAAATAATCTAGAAAAGGTCTGATACAGGACCTGACGAATGCATCTGGGCCTTCAGTTCACTGAAGCCTCATCAGAGGTGGTCTCACTGACTGTCAAAAAGCTATTCTTAAAGAAGGGAAACTGAGGGAGAAAGGCTGATGTTTCAGGGTGGGATTATATTGACAGACAGTAAAACAAAGAAGAGCTTTGAATGTCCTTTAAGAAACCTGGAGAACTATTGCTGAAAACTACTTAAAGAAATTAAAAGAGAGCTTGCCAAAGAGCATTCAGGCTGAGTCCGAGAACAAAGGCAGTCATATCAAATACCAACTTTCCAGCTTGTTAGAATTTTGCACAACTGAGGCCTTATATACTTTATTTGGATGTATTCTGGCACAAGGTTCAATAAATCACCTACCTATGTCGCATTTTCCAAGCAAAAT